TTTCCCAATTTTAAAACATTCAGTGTTCCCATGCTCTGTTCGAACAACTGCCTCTTGGTCCAGGTACAGATTTCTCAGAAGTACAATTAAGTGTTAGGGGTGAGTTAATTAAATGTTTGACCAAATATAGCAGGATAATTTTATATGGCCCGTGAATGAAGTTACAAATTTTGGCAGAAAAAGGTTCCCCACTCCTGATGTACATACAGGGTTTTTGAGGCTGTAAATCTTTACAGGAGAAGAAAGCCTTGTCTTTCTCCCATGGAGCAAGTGGTAGATTAAAACTGCTGACTTTACAGTTAGCAGCCCAGCTACTAATCCACTATACTATCAGGGCTACGTTTATGTGATCCTGTTAGTACTACCAAGAAATCCCTGTTACTAACTTCCCAACAAACAACATTCTTATCAACAGAGGAAAGATTGAAGTTTCAAGGACTTCATTCTTCTTGGATCAACTATCAACACTCATGGAAGCAGCAGTCAAGATATCAAATGATGTTTTGCATTAGGCAAATCTGTTGCACAAGACCTTTTTAAAGTGTTGAAGAGCAAAGATGTCAGCTTGAGGACTAAGGTGCACTTGACCCAAGCCATGGTATTTTCAATCACCTCATATGCATGCGAAAGCTGGACAGTGAATAAGGAAGACCATAGAAGAGTTGATGCTTTTGAGTTATGGTGTTGGAGAGTATTTAAAGTGCCATGGGCTGCCAAAAGAACCAATAGATCCATTTTGGAAGAAGTGCAGCCAGAGTGCTCCTTAGAGGCCAAGATGGCCAAACTTCATCTCATACTTTGGACATATTGTCAGGAGGAACCAGTTGCTGGAGAAGGATATCATGTTTGTTAAGGTGGAGGGTCAGAAAAAAAGAGGAAGACCCCCAAGTGAGATGGATTGGCCAAGTGGCAGCATCCATGGACTCAAGTTGTGGCAACAGTAGTGAGGTTGGCCCAGGATTGGGCAGTGTTTTGTTCTGCTGTGCATAAGGTTGCTATGGGTTGGTAACAACTCGATGGCACCTAACAACAACAACTTCCCTAGCTTGGCACAATTAAGTTGTAAGAGTAGTAGGTCTATAAAAGGGATGTGGAGCGCGTTGTCTGGCCTTCTCTTATTTTGCAAGGGGAAAGACAAATCAAACCCATCAGCATCAGTCCCCGGTCAATTCCTATAAAGCTGAGGTTAGATATGCCTCCACCTGCCAACCTTCTTCACCAATTCTGTCACCAGTCATTCCTCCCACAGTATTCCACTTTGTTGGTTTTGGTAATTCATTGCAGTGGTCACTAAGAACTCAGACACCATACTGACAGTTATGGGCTTTATTAGGAAAGTTAACAAGTTACAATTCAGGGCCAGAAATGCTTAGAGCACAGTTCTTCCAGTTAGGACAGCTTCTACTTAAGTGTGAAGGCAAACCTTTCTCTGGCCTCAGCCCCTTGGCCAGACCTCTGTCCTGATTGGGCAATGTTACAAAGCTCTTTTAGAGCTTATAAATGAACAAAAGGAGCTCTGGTATAATTGTGGTTACGAGCTGGGCTGTTAACCTCAAAGGTCAGCAGTTCAAAACTACCAGCTGTTCTGCAGGAGAAAGATGAGGCATTCTGCTCCTATAAAGATTTACAGCCTCAGAAACCCTATGCAGGGTCACTGTGAGTAGGAATCTACTCCAAGGCACATAAACACGACCACCAATAAATGCCTGAAGGACATTCATTCCTCTGATAGAAGCCTCAGCTTGAAGGCACTCATCTCTAGCTCTGTGGGTCAGCAGACCTAGCTCCCCAATTAAGTGCCTGGAGGAATACCACTCCACAAGAGAGCCTCTTGTCTAAGGCACTCAGCTTTACTTGCTCCATGGGCTGGGAAGCCCACCACTGACTAGTGCTCTGGATCGTAGTTACACCCCGGCTGCTCCTCTGTTACTTCTCTGGTGTCACAGCTTTCTGTCCTTGGATCAAGGAGGTTCAATATTCAGGGGTCTCAGGGTCCAAAGGACAGCACTCCATTCTTGACTCGTCTTCCTTAGTGGTAGTGAAATCCTCCATTCTTGCTTCTGAGATGGTTCATTTATACCAACGTTAGAGTTCCAGGGTTTTACAATCACAATTAACCCTGTTAACAATCATTGACAACTGAATCACATGATCCTACCAGCATCTCCCCTCACTGTATTTTAGATAAATAAGGAAAAAAGCTCTTTGATGAGCGTTATGAAAGACATGATTAGAAGTGACTTATGAAGTAATTCGCTGCACTCAAGGGCTGAAGCAACTTCCCAAATAATTTCAAAGAAAAAAATTGGCAGTACACCTTATACCCCAGAAGTGTGGACCACTTGAGTTAACACTTTCCGCAGAGCTAACTTCACATCCTTGTTTCTCAATGTGTAGATCAAAGGGTTAAGGGAAGGAGTGACAATATTATTTAACACCTGAATGACAGAATCCAGCCAGGGGCTGGATACTGGCCGGAGGTAGATGAGCATCACAGGACCATAGAACAAGAGGATTGAAATCAGGTGGGCACTGCATGTTGAGAAGGCTCGACGCCTGCCTTCTGACGAGCTGATTTTCAATATGGAAAGGACAATGCGACTATAGGAAGTGAGGATAAGGAAAAAACACGTTAAAGTCACAACATCCACATTAGTAAAGCTCACTGTCTGAGCCAGGGAGGTGTCAGCACAGGCCAGGGGTAGCACCACTGGTATATCACAAAAGAAATTATCCACCTCATTTGGGCCACAGTAGGGCAGCTTAAAAACGAGGAAGGTGAGGATACTTCCATGTAGACAACCCCCCAACCAGGTTCCTAGTGTCAGGCCAACACACACCCTGTGGTTCATGATGACCGTATACCGCAAGGGGTGACAAATGGCCACAAAACGGTCATAAGCCATCACGGTGTACAGGAAACACTCGGTGCCACCCAAGACATGGTAAAAAAAGAGCTGGGATGCACAGCCCTGATAGGAGATGTTGTGACTCTGCCCCATTAGGCAGAGCATCATTTTGGGGGAACTCACTGAAGGGAAAAATATATCAAACACTGAAAGGTTTCCCAGGAAGAAGTACATGGGAGTGTGGAGGTTAGGGGAAGCCAGAATGATGAGGAAGATGAGCAAGTTCCCAAGTACGGTGAAGAGGTAGAAGGTCAAAAACAAGACAAAGAGCATGTTCTCCAGCCCTTTAGTATTAGGAATTCCCAATAAGATGAACTCTGTCACGAAAGTAGAATTTTGCATGTTTATGTATCAGGCAGTCCTGCAGAAGCAAAGCGACAATTATGATGTAAGACCATAAGTAACGGAAGCAATATCTTCCAGAATAAGTGATTTCTACCTATGGCAACTGGTGTAAGCAAAGGAAGGTCAAAAGCAGAAAAGGAGACAAGTAATAAATCTAGACCCACCATGAAGTAATGTGTCACAATTGGCATCATTATCTTTATCTGTTAAATTAGATGGCAGAAAAAAGTATTTTTACAGCTAACAAAACACATAATAATCAACTCTTCTTACCAGTTTTGTATAGTTATTATCTGGTTTACTGCACAAACTGGTACATTTCTGAAGCACCTTCTTCATGAAAAATGTGTCATAAGGTGACAGACCCATTTTATTATCAGTTAAGTCATAATGAGTTTGTAGGTAAATCTAGTATTAAAATATATGCATAAAAATTCTGAATCTAAATTTAAAATGATATATACTTACCTACTATTTTTTTGGCAATGCATTTTTTTTCATCCTTCAACATTTATATTCAACAGAAAAGCTTTTTTTTTTTTGTATTCATGACCTACACATATACACATGCAAGAAAAATTGGATTAAAAATAAGCATTACATGGATAATAAAAATAATTACTGTATCACACTAGAAATTTGTGTCTCATCAACTGGGTTTTCTTTCTATACTAGAGACGTCAGAAATACAAGTTTTGATAACATTAAGATTATTGTATTTATTAATCAGTGCCAGGCCTCCCAGCAAAACCAAAAGCAAATCTGAATTATGTTTCCTAAAGCCACAATTGATCATTCTGGTATTTTTGCATCCCATTTTCTGTTAGTTCTATATGTGTATCGCTGTAGTATAGCTAATCTCCCTCTGCCTGTGGTTAATATTTGTTCATAGGCAATAATCTGATGAATGTATTCACAAAATTCATATATTGTAGATCTCTTACCATTTCCGGAATTACTTCCATTTTAACAGACATGGGGTTTTATACAAGGAGAAAAATCTCAGTAAGTAGAATTTCTGGCAAGAATGAACAGGTGACAGGGGCATTTTGGGAAGAGGAGCTTTTCATATCATTCTTAAAATTAATTTGTATAGTCAGGCCCTATATAAAGTTGTTTCTGCTCAAAATGTTTTGAGTAGATTGAGATTCTGAAAAAGATAAAAGCAGGAAGACAAAAGGACTCTTTTCCAGCCTGAAATACATTTTATACATTGAGTTTGGGCCAAGAAATTGTCATCTCACAGACACTTAGTTATCGTCTAGGAAAATAAAGATGAATAAAATAATTAGTATACCTTGAAGGGCTTATCCAGAGTTATATCTAACTGGTTTGTAGTCCTGATTCCACCACTTTCTAGGGTTTGGGGCTTGGATAACTTAGTCTCTTTAAGCTTCACATCCTTTAAAAGAAAAATGGACAAAAATATTACCTGCCACATAGGGTCTTTCTGAAGATTAAATAAGAGAATGAAATTAAAATTTTGATCAAGTTTTGATAGTAAGTGACCGAAAAAGTTATACCACTAAACTTCATGTATATAAGACTGAGGTAAGGGTGATAGTGAAGTCATAACAAGAGCATTTCAAGTATACTGAGTATGTCAATTAGGTATGTGCTTTGAAATGTGTTATGATTTTAAGAGACAAAACAGACATACATGTTAGGAAGCCATTATTTTCACAGGACCTACGATAGTGTGTTACGTAAACACACAGGCAAATTTTTTTAAAAAGGTCAGTTTGTAGGCTGTTGTTGTTAAATGCCATCTAGTCAATTCTGTCTCATAGCGACCCTGTACAGGATTTCTGAGGAGACGCTGGTGAGTTTGAACTGCCGAGGTTCAAGCTGATCCTGTGGTCTAGTGCATTACCGCACAGTGCCACACCAGGACTAGAAGTACATAAACTCTCCTTTTAATGTGAACCTTTCTATTTCTAGCTCAGTATCCAGATTAAGTAACATAGGTAGTGTAGTGGATTATGCATTGGCCTGCTAACTGCAAGGTCAGTAATTCAATCTGACCAGCTGTTCTGTGGGAGAAAGATGAGGCTTTTTGGTCCTATGGAGATTTACACCCGCATAAACTTTATGCAAGTTTGCTATGAGTCAGAAATGACTAGATGGCGCACAGCAACAACAGCATCCAGATTCATGCTGCTAAATGGCATTGATGGCCACTCCAAACTTGCCTTAATCACAGGCATAAATTTGATAAACTATTTCGATATACTTTCAAACCCCTTCTCACTCCTCCTTTGCAGTGGTCACTCAATACCTTATCTTCATTCGAACCTGTTCTGAAGATAAAATCTGACATCAGTCCAAGGAGAAATTCTAAGAGTAAAAATAATGCTTAATCATCGAGGGTCATGGAGAAAGCATTGTGTTCCCATTACAGAAAATTTCCAGTGGAGCTATCAACTCAAAGTGAAATAAATGAATTAGTCTCCTCAGGAGTCCTGTGTGGTACTGTAGGATAAACACTGAACTGCTAACTGCAAGGTCAGCAGTTCAAACCCAGTAGACACTCCTGGAAAACCTATATAGAGTCCCTATGCATCGGAACTGACTAGATGATACTTAACAACAACTACAAAGAGAATAAACTAGGTGTTTTTTTTTCCAACTTTATATTTTAAAATTCTATAGATTTCTATAAATTATGTGCATTTTGCTATTTTGACATTAATACTTGCATTTCAATCCTAAATCTTTAATGATAGACTGAAAATGCATACTGGTTTAAAGAAGTTCTCATACTGATAAGATAAGTAGTTTTGTTTTGTTTTATAAGGAAAGTATATTTTAAGAGTGGGACTAATACCTACTTTTTATACTAATCATAAAGTAGGATTCATAGCCAAATAATCTATTCCCTTCAATACCACCCACCTTAGCCCCACAAGCCCTCAAACTTACACACATATAAATACATATATATCCTCTAGACTTCTCTCCTTCGTTTCATCCTCAATACTGGATTGTGAATGGGTTACTGAACTCCAAGACATATAAGAGTTAATCTAAATTCCCTTTATTAGTTGGTTGAGTAGGGAAAAGGGTGAGGTGAGGACCAATGGAGAAGAGTAGAAAAAGACAGCACGAAAAGGGAAGAACAATATAAGCAGAACAGAGATAAATAGAAGCAGGTAAAGCTTTAGACATGTACCAGATGATGGAAAACATAATACGTAAAGAGATTCTTATACAGTCTCTAGGTAAGAAGGATACATTCCTTAAGCCAATACTTACTTTGCATAAGATACCATGGCATAGATCTAAGGTTTTGCACTTTCTCTTGTTGGCTCCAAGGTGCCTATGTTTCACACTCAACTCTGCAATGTAGTTTGGTCCTTAAATTCTGAATTTGCAATGTTTTGCAAAATGAAGAGTATTAATGGGTCTGGTTTCTTTTGAACAGCATCCCTAATGACCCAATCCCTAGACTCAAGAAGTCTGACAACAAAGGAAGTAATTAAACAGTGGTCTGATTTGTTTACCTCCTTCCCCCTTTCCATCCTCTTCCTCATTATTTCATAATAGATAGCATATTCATTATAAAAGTAGCATAAAAACCTTATAGAGTAGTTTTAAGTATTTATAAAAGCAGAAAACATCATATTTTATCACTCTTAACATAATCAATATTAACATTTTGGTGTGTTCTTTCCATTACTCCAACAAATGATGATGGTGTATTTTAAACAAGTTACAATCATATTAAATATGTAGTTTTGCATCTTTCCCATCTAATTTGTAATTTTAAGAAAATGTGTGGTCAGTTGTCAAACTATCATTTTTAATGGCAGTCTTTGTTCCACAATGCCAACTTTACTCAGTTATGTTCATTTTTCTATATGTTTCATTTTGTTAACAATTTTCTGTATGCATATATAGCTAGATTTGTTGTTGTTGTTATTAAGTGCCTTTGAGTTGATTCCGACCCATAGCGACCCTGTATAGGGTTTCCGAGGAGCAACTGGTGAGCTTGAACCACCGACCTTGCAGTTCAAACGGCTTTGCAGTCTGGTGCATTAACCCACAGCACCACACCAGGACTCCTATGTAGCTAGACAGACAGATAGAAATAGGTTTAAGCATAGGTATTGTTGTTGTTGTTGTTAAGTGCTGTGAGATGGTTTCAACCCATAGTGACCTTGTATAGGCTGGTGAGCTTGAACTATCAACCTTGTGGTTCAAATCAACTTTGCAGTTTAGTGCATTAACCCACAGCACCACACCAGGACTCCAGGCATAGGCATAGACATAGACATCAATATATGAATACATATTGTTTATACACACACACACATATGCCTTCGAGTTGGTCTGACATAGTGATCCTGTGCTAGTTTTTGAGAGTGACTGGTGGGTTTGACCCACTGATCTTGTAGGTAGCAGTCTGTTACTAATCCTATAGCACCACACGAGGGTACCTCATAAATCCTATATAGGATCACGATGAGTCACAACCAACAGTATGGCAGTTAACAACAACAAAATATATATAGATTTTTGTTATTGTTAAATGCCATGGAGTCGATTCTGACTCATAGTGACCTTGTATAGGATTTCTGAGGTGCTGAACATTTTTTCAGGAGCAGAAAGCCTCATCTTTCTTCCACAGAATGGCTGGTGGACTTAAACTGCCAACCTTGTGGTTTGCAATCCACTGCTTATCGTACATATATTTGTATATGTGTATAATAAGCAATGGATTCATCCATACATAACACAAATATATAATGTATTATGATGGGCATCTTCACTCATATTTGTTGTTCTGAACTGATAAGTCAATTTCTATACAGTGGGGCCATATATGACAAAGTAGAACTACCCATAAGATTTCTTAGACTGAAAATGTTACAGGAATAGATTGCCAGGCTTTTTTTCTCTCAGAACATTGTTGATGGGTTTGAACCATCAACCATTTAATTAACTATTGCAACACCAGCACTTTATATATATATATATATATATATGTATATGTA